CTTCTTAAACAGCTTTTCCAGGGAAGGACATTAAGCTAGTGTTGATTAGCTCCAAATACCTGTCCACCCTTTTTATTTCCTACAGCACAGACTGTAGCCAGAATGCTAGCTACTACTGAGGTGTCTGTGTAAGGCAGAGAGGTGGGAAGAATAATCCCTGCTTAGGAGGGAGAAGCCAGGCAGACACTCTGTGCCTGCAAGTCTCTGCCAGAGGTGCAGCCAGGGAGCAGAGGGGAAGGGCCAGCCCTGCCGTGAAGCAAAGAGCCCTACTCAGTCCAGAGATCATGCCAAGATGCTGGAGGAATCTGGTTTATCTTAAACTAGCAAGGTGTCTGGGACAGACATTGAGTAAACCGATATGAGCCAAATCAGTTAAGTCTGATACTACATTCAACCAGGTTTATCTCAAACCAGTTGCAGCCATTTTCAAACTGGTTTATGTGCTCTGAACATCTGTTCTGTTACAGGTTTAAACCAGTTTTTCATCACTTAAACTGGTTTATGTGTAAAATCTGTCCCTAGAGTCTCAAGCATTAATAAAACATTCTACATAATAGTTCAGGGGGAACTGGAGCCTGTTCTTTTTTACTTTCACTGGTAATTCTTTTTTTCTTTTAGGGTAGTGATATGGAAAAAAGGATTGAATTTCCTTTGAAATGTGCAGGGGTCTGAGTAATGGAATGTATGGTGCTTCACTAGTTGAACTCTGCAAATAAGTCCCCTACCTTAAGCTAACAAGACTTTGACAGATATAAGTAAATGAGATCATTAAGCTGCTATTTGTTACGCATAATAAATCAAATACATCCATGGTGTAAAGTCATTTGATTTCTCAATAGCATGATACTAGGAATGAATCTGCCGCCCTTTTCCCCCACCCCACCTCACATAATGTAATGGTGTTTGGCAGGAAAAATCAGAGAACTAAATTGGAAAGTCATGTTTTTCTTTTAAGTGGGTTTTTAAGGTAAGTTATACAGATATTTGGTGAATTTAAAGTTCTGAGTAGATTTCAGGAAAAAGTACAAAACAGGCATTCAAAGATAAGGTTGGCCTTCAGTCCTTCACTTGTGTCATTGTGAAAACAGGGACATGGGCCCAAAGGACAGCTTATTCTCAAATGTCTTATCATCTGAGGCAGTTCTTACTGTTATTTCAGAACCATTTCCCTGCTTCAGGAAAACCCTTAGGCTTTTGCTATTCTAAATAGGAATGTGTCATGAATGGGGCCTTAGTATGTTCACTGTATATCTGACCTCACAATTCTGTTCTTGGGTTTAAAATGTTGTATAGCCAATTTCTTAATAAAATATAGGAAAACCCTCTTTAAATAAAACTCTAAAATATTTCCATAATGTATTTATTAATGAACTGTTGGGAGGGTATATTTTGGTAGATTAATGGCTTTAGCAGCTTTGCATCAAATGGGACAAACATTTTTGTTAAATCAAAGTTTGTTCTGAGTGAGAATTATTCCCTTCCTTGCCACCCTCCAAATAACTGGAATTAAAATGGTCAGAGTAGTTTAAATCTTATTTAAAGATGAGTTTTTGTAAGCAGGTGAATTCTGCCACCACATTATGAGCCTGTGATTTTATCGGGATTTTAACATAAAAAACCAGACATTATTATATGAGGATTTAAGGACATCATTTTATAAGGACACACATACCTGATGTGGTGTGAGTATTCTGAGTAAGTAAAAAATAATCCAGGGATAATAATGAAACTTTGGGGTGGGAGAACTACTACCCCTCCAACAACTCTTGGAATAAGAAAACCAGACCCTGCTCCATACATCTAGACAAGACTCTCAGCAATTTTCAGGGACTTTTGTTTGTTTATGGACTGTGAAAATGGGACAATTGGTCAGGTATCACCCAGTCATATGTCATCTTTTTGTTAACTATAATAAAACTGTATTTCTTTGCAGCAAATATAAATTAAGCAGCAAATTACAAAAACAATTTTGAAAAGTGATCAGTGTGACTAGTGATCTTTTCTGTTTGTTATATATCCAGTGTTTCCTTGTATAAGTGCAATAGAGGCAATTTTCCCCGTCTTTGTCACAGCTTCATGGATTATCTCATTTCCCACTGCTTTACACTTCTCATGCTTTCAGTTGTGCATCCCAGGTCCCATTCTGCTGGGGGCCTGGCTCTGGGTGGGTTTTCCTCCAGAGCACATTAGCACTACAATGTACTCAAATTGCATGGGCACCTCTGAGAGCAAAAGCTCATCAGCATTCCCAGCTCCTGCTGGCAGAGAGAGGCTAAAGCCAGAAATAAACATGGAGGGCCAGATCCTCTGTGGTTGTAAATTGGCAGAGATCCACTGACATCTTTGAAACTGGGCTGATTTATTCCAGCTGATGACGGGGATCTTGAACTTTTAAAAAAAAACATGGTAACACAGTTTGGACAATGGTTCACTGTTAAATCCTGAGCTGGATAGAAAAATTGCCATATGGCCACATATCATCTGCATAATCAAAGACACAGTTAGGAAATCTTGGGGAAAGTCCCCCAGCTTTTTAAAGGATTATTCCAATTAGTGCTCATGAGGAGTTGCTAGGCTGATAACAGTATGAGCCTTTATTTTTTTCTGTCTACAGAATGTGCCATACATGAGTACTTCCAGGCTGAAGGCTGGCAGCAGAGCAAAGGCTGTTTGGAGTTAGGAGGGAGAAATGTTGTGCAGGAGAAAGAGGGGGAAATGTATTGGCACAAGCTGATCATAAGCCCTGGTCCGTCGGGGCACCTCAAGTCTGACAATGGGAGAGGGGAAGGACTGGCTGACCTGGAGATACTCTAGATGTGAACATCACTTGGAGAGCTTGATAGCAGAGCCCCTAGTGATCCCTGTTTGGATTTTAACTGTTCTGTCCCTGGAAGGTCACTGGGTTGGGAGGGAAAGAGAGGGGGGCTGACAAAGTGGGATCTCAGAAAAAGTCTTGGCCTTAAGCTGGACCTTCAACCAGACAAAAAGTGTGAGCTTTCAATTACTCTGGGTCTGGACCAAATCACAAGCAGCAGCAGAGGAAAGGAAAGCTGGGAGTTTGTAACCAGCCCCACAAGCCTTCAGCTGACCAACAGTCCCTTAAAGATATAAAGATACACATATATGTGTGTGTATTCATGTGTGTGTGTATATGTATACCCCCCCATATATGTGGTTTATGTCACAAAGTACATTCAGTTTGTTCCATTACTTGGCCTTTTACTTGGCCTTTTTGTAGGAAAAAACACACACATTTCTGTAACGATCTACCACATCTAAAAGATGCTTGATTCTTCTTTCTAGAGAGGGGCCATGATGGTTACTAGTCTGAATGGCTCAGCCAATGTCAAACATTATTGGTTCACATGAGGAAGAGCTACTGGTTTTGATTTTGCAAAACCCCTTGTTTGAAACAGAGATGAGTCGAACCAAAACCATATGTCATCATAATTATCATGGATTTGCTTTTGGTTTGACAAAAATGCCACTCCCTTCTGTCCATTTCATTACTTTTGACATTTTTCCTCAAAGTTTTCACTAGATGGCAGGATTCCTCTGTCAGCTAGTTCTGATAGATTTACTTGGGAAGCAACAGTTGCATGCCAGCAAGAGGCTAGTTTTTCTCATAATCTGTTAGAATATTGTAAAATGTTTAAAAACAAGCATAAATTAGCAATACTTAATTTAAAAAAAACCCTTGGTAGTTATGTTCAATAAACTGCAGCTTTACTACTGAATAAAGTTAATGTTATGGCTGGAAATCATTCAGAGAGAAGAGAATGCCAGATACTATTTCCTTAGTAAAAAAACTGACACGGTCTTCTATTTTAAAACAAAATAAAATCCTTCACAACTGCATATATTTCTGCTGCATTTGAAAAACTAACTGACCCTATTATATAAATGCAGCTTTAATTCGTAAGCATATTATCAGCTAAAAGAAACACGGGCTTAAATTACAGAACTAATATAATGCATCAACACACTAAGAATATACCAAGATATCCAGCATTGAGATTATTATAGGATAATGCATTATATTCCTTTGTATTATTTTGCTTCCAATTGTATGGGCATAAATATATGACAGCTTCTGGATTTCAGGTTACATGACGGGACACATCATACTCATTAGTTCAAATTCTGTTTTCATACCATTGCAGTCAATGGATTTGTACTGATAACATAGCTATGGGTAGAATATCACCTCCTGTCCAGGAAGACCAAATGTAGCAACATACATTTACATAGTTTCTAATAAACATGGCAAGCCATAGTCTTTGTACTGAAGTAAAACATTTATTTTAAACAAACATAGTTTTATTTTCAAATTACAAAGTTAGTTTTCAGAGAGATTTCTTGTAAGTTAAACTTTAAAACTCTATAATTTATTTTCATTTCATTTTATATAGAAAGACTATCTATAGAACGGCCAACAATTTTCAGTATCATCCATGGAATACATACTAGAGCACATTTGACCTCTGCTAACGCTGTTTCCAGGATAAGCCTCTGGAAACAGCAATAATTCTCAGGATTCTCAGAATAATGCTTTCCAGGATTCCCAAAATAGTAGGGACATTTTCCCATGCTAAATCATTCATTTCTTCTATGGCAAGACAAGAGAAGGAGTCACAAATGGATGGTCAAGGCAGGGTTTGCTATCTGGAACACTTACATTGCAAGGCACTAATCCTCCTCAACAATACCCACTGATTTCAGTGGGAATTGGAAAGATGCATCAATTCCTTTACATGCCTGAAAACAGCACTGGCACTTGTGAGTACCTCTTTAGTACCAATACAAGCGCTTCTTGTAAAGGGCATTTAAAATGATCGGTCTTGCACCTGTAGAGCTGCCTCAACAACATCTCTGGCAGATTTAAAACTAGCACCACAGTAAAACCCACATGAAGGTTTTAGACTGAAACGTCTCATTCAAACAGTCACTTTTTTCCCTCCCTTCAATCATAACACACAGATAATATCCCTGTAGCCTACCTTGGCGATTTGCAAAGGCTGCTTCTGCTCCTTGCCACCTTGTAGTCTAAAGCCCCAGGGGGCCCCTCCACTCATGGTAATGCAGATATAATCCCCTGTACCCATTTTCCTGGTGCAGTTAGGCTGTGTTCATTTGCAGAAGAAGATGGAAAAGTTCTCTGGCAGCGAGAGATATTCACTGAACTTGAGACTTGCCTGCCAGGCAGAGCTAGGGAAGCAGAGCACCACACTGCTGCTCCTGCTGCGTACTGCACTCTCTAATGTAGTCATTCACAAGACTGCAAGAGCTGTCTGAGGCTAAGGGCACAGCCCACTGCTTCGTCAGATTTCCATGCTCAGCCCACCTTCACAGTAAAGTAAAATAACGTTGAGGAAACGCACACACAAGCAATGAAGCCATAAGGCTAAAACGGCTATATTTAAACACAAGAGCCTCTGCTTGTGACAGATCAAAACACCAGAGAAAAAGCAGTGTAAATTTCCCAGGGATGATTTAATACACAAAGTTGACTTTTGTAAATGGCACCAGACTTGTTCAGCTTTAATTTCTGGGTTTTTTGAGCTCATGCTTCAAACAAGGGAGGAAAAAGAAGACATAAAGAAAAAAATCTTGTGGATTATTTGCATAGATCAGTGGTTTTCAACCTTTTTTTATTATTTGTGGACCCCTAAAAATTTTCAAGTGGAGGTGAGGACTCTTTTGGAAATGTTGAATGGAGGTGCAGACCCCTCTGAATTGTAAGTGTGCATATTCACCTACTTTTGATTAATCGTATCATCTTTCACAGACCCCTTAGACATAGTACCATGGGTTGAAAACCACTGGCATTGATGATAAGCCTAGGTTTAGATTCTCATCTGTCCTCAGTATGTGCTTGGTAGACATCTGTGGGGATGTAAAAGAGTTACAACTTCTTGACCCTGGAGCTGGTTGTAGCTTGGTCTTATCCCAAGTGCAGTGTAGAGCAATTCCAGGCTCTTGTTCCAGGCATTTCAGCCTAGTCATGACTCCATCCTTTTCCTTTCAGCCCCCCCGAGCATTTCCGACCCCCCATGTGGGGAAGGGGAGGAAGCCACAGAGGTGTTATCAAGGAGTTCTTGTGGCACAATCCCTAGATGAATGTTAACCAAGCAGTCTGTATTATAGGGCAGAAGAGATGGTCAATGGGAAATGATCTACTCTGGGATTTGGAAGAGACTGAGGAGTGGGAGGGAAGGGACAGAAGCTGTGAAAAGCTGGGGGTGGGGGGTGCAGGTGGCAGGGCAAAAAGGGACAAGGTGACCAGCTGACCCTCCTGCCCACTGCTTTCTCTGCTATTCCTGCTACAGGAGCATAGGAAGGGGTGAATTTAAGATGACCCTCTTATAATTAGATGCTATACCTGGAAAATTATCATAAATTTATAAATTTTCCATACAAAATCTAATTACTGGGAGGTCATTTTAGATTCAAGATAATCTTAGATTCAAGTAAATTAATAGATGAGTTGTTAGAAAATCATACTCGAGGATCACACTCAGAAAGGGATTGGCTGGTGATGACCCTGCTTGAGCAGGGGGTCAGATAAGATGATCTCATGAGGTCCCATCCAGCCCTACTTTCCTATGATCCTGTGATAACAGACTTAAGAACCTCAGACTGAAGAGGCCTATTTTCATTATAACTCCATGGAAGCTAATTCTCTTTCCTTTCCCTGGTGTTTTTTCTTTCGCAGTAACAAGGGACTGTTGCTTTCGCAGTAACAAGCAACAATGATCTGTTGCTATAATATCCAGCATTTTTTTTCTAAGCTTCTGATTTTATAATATCTTAAGGACAAAATATGTGGATGTCTAGAGAGACAGCACAAGTGAAAACTACTCCCTCCAATTACAACAGCATAGCATTAGCATATAGCTGTAAAATGTTTTGTAAGTGACCTAGGAGAAAATTAGAATCTTTTCTTAAGATAGTGAAGCTCAGACTCTACCCTGTCTTCACATTTAAGAACTTTTGTGATGAAGCAATGTAGTTTTTGTACATTTAATAATGGTGAGGGCACCCATGGCAATTAAGTTAGGTTTTTAAAAATGTAGGCAAAAGTAATAGATAAAATCTTATCTCCCCATATCTGATTTTCTGCATGGCAGAACGGGGACAGTGTAAAATACATACACTAAAGAAGTCCATCATTGCATGCATCTGTGTTAGGCTAATCCCATAATTGAGCTGGGAGCTTGTACTTGGACAGAGCTATTTTTATCTCTTTTGACCATATAAGAGAACTGTGTAAAACTCTTAACTGGACAGAACCACTTTTAATCATTATTCTTCAGAGAATAATGATTCCAAAAGTAACTAAAATCTAGAAATCAGCTGAATTTATTGCATACCACACAAGAGTCACTGCTATAAATGCCTGCCCAAGGCAAGGGTGTACTTGGTAGCCATGTTGGTCTGAGACAAAACGACACACAAAAAACAAAAAAATGATACCTTTTATTAGACCAACTGGAAATTGGTCTAATAAGTTATTATTTTGGAATCAAGAGTTCTAGTTTTTTGTATGCTCAAGGCAAGAATATCTGGGCTGTCCTTGCTGGTGAGCCTAAAATCCAGTTGTGTGATTAAGGCACTAAAAGTTAGAGTTGACTTGGGGGTGCAAAAACAGCAGCCATTGCTGGCCCTGCTGCTGTTGCCCAGCAGGCAAAACTACGCAGTTACATTTGTTTATTGCCCTTTTAGGCAACAAGAGAAAGGGGTATATGATAATGGGAATCAGCAGAACCTGCATGCCTATCAAGCATTCCACAAATTTCTTTTAAAAACATTGGTTTTCTACAGTTTTCCAAAACACAAAAGTAAAATATCAGGTTTGGGGGCCATCCCTATAGAGTATATCAGTATTTCTGTAATATGCTGCTAGATGATATCTAGGGACCTATTGACATTGTGATTTTGCAAATTTTGCAGAAATTGCGAAATCCAGCATTGCCTGCAAAAATTGGCAATGTCTGCAAAATCTGCAAAAAAAAGAGAGAAAACTTATTGAAAATAAGTCCTCATGGTGCTGTGGCCTGGCTGCACAGCCTGCTGGGGGGAAAAGTGCACAGCCCGCTGGGGTGGGGCGGGCTGCCAGCATGAAGGGTAGCCCAAGATGGCTTGGTTGAGAGGTTTGTCATGTGTCCCCACTCCACTCCACCAATTGGGAACAAGGAGTGGGGCCACATGCTGGACAGCCCTTGCAACCAATCAGCGGTGAGGAGAGGGAGTGGAAACTATCTTGGACTGCCCTTCATCCTGGCAGCCCCCCTCCCACCTTCCCCCTGGTGTGCTGCCCACCAGAACACAGCACCATGAGGACTACTTCTTATTTTCAGTAAGTTTTCTCTTGTTTGGGGCAGATTTTGCAGACTTTTTCCGCTTTCGCAGGCAATGCTGGATTTCACAATTTCCACAAATCCCACAAAATCACAATTTCGGTAGGTCCCTAGATATAACAGCCAGTCCTCACAGCCATTCAGTGCTGAGGGGTGGGGCCACTGGGGCTCCTTGGTATGGGGGAGGGGGGTCCCACCATGATCAGCCTATGAAAATGGCAGCTAACCTCGCAATCTCCCTGCAAAATCAGCCAGCCACCTCCTCGAGTTGGATAGACCCATAATTATAGCTTCATAGTTTCATAGTTTCATAGATTTAGGGTCGGAA